TAGTTTGAAGAGCACTATTTGAAATTTTACATTTTTTATATGAAGTACGATAATAAAAAAATATATTGGGTTCAATTGGAATAAAAACCTTTGTGTATAAAATCATGGCTTGATACGAAGTGTGAATAGCTCTAATGGAAGACCTAGCAAAAACAGGCTTCTCAAACCGTGACTGCTTTGCCACCACTGAGTTGAGTCCATCACAAAGATCAAAATCGTCTATGAAATTAAAATGGACTTGTAAGGTGTGGTTTGGATTTGGATTGCATAGTTAAGCAAATGAAAATAGACAAAAAATGACTTTTTTTTCTGTTGACCTTGCCTTTGATTTTGATTCCATAAGCAAGATGGAGAAACTTTATATAACCTCAAACTTTATATGACCACATTTTGATCCCATAAGGAAGAGAATCTAATAGTGTCATTAGGAAGCTCTTCTGAGAGCGGCTCCGTAAGTTACATCCTCTTGATGCATCTAACTTCATAATATTCACAACGATAAATCACAGTCACATTTGTGAAATTTGGATCCATCTCTTGAAGTAAAGTAACACAAACTCTGGGGATTTTTCCAGAAATAGCACCTTTAAAAAAAATTACAAAAATAGCACCCAGTCGAAAAAATTTACACTAATAGCACCTTTTTTTATGGATCGCACCTTAGAGGTGCGTTTTACATGTAAACCGCACCTTAGGGGTGTGTTTTACATATAAAACGCACCTTTATGGCGCGGTATAAAATCCTGGACTAAAACCGCATCTCGGCCAAGCGGTTTTAGGTCTGACCTACAAAAACCGCTTGGCAGAGGAGCGGTTTAGGCCAGGCCTATCTAAATCGCACCATGAAGCTGCGGTTTGCTTCTCCCAAACAAAACCGCATTTGCATGGTGCGATTTTAACCCTCAAACCGCACCCCCAAGATGCGGTTTTGGTCAATTAATTTCCGACATCCCATGCAGAACAACAGACGTGGGCCTGCATGGCAGACGAAAACCGCACCTCTAAGGTGCGGTTTTCATCAGTGATTTTGCCTATAAATGGCTTCCCGGAAAACCATTTCTCTTCACACCTCTCCTTCTCCCTTTTCAATTTTCTGTTGTAGCTCTATATTTCTTTAGTAGTTTTGTGATTAACGTTAACTCGTAAGCTTATTTTGTATTACTTTTTATTGTTATTTTTTATTTTTGATTTTTATGATATTAACTGAACTACGATTTTTTCGTAGATGGCATTCCAACCGTTCACGCTTGGCTTACGATGGAATGGTTACACGGAAGAGACCGGAAAGGGGGTCACCTACGTCGGTGGCAATTTTCAGAAGATAAAGGTCGCTACCAGACCGCTGCTTGAAGACCTCCATCAAATGTGCACTAACGTTACTTGCATGGATGGCACGAGAAGAGTTGATCGTATGGTGTACCGATATCCAAACAGAGAAAGTGGGTCATTGTGGCATGAGGAATATCTCATAACCACTCAGGATGAGGTAGATGCTATGCTCGAATTCTTGAGGTCCAACAAACTTTCCAAAGCCGAGATGTTCGTTTACACCGAGGCGGTCGTAGGCGTTGGAGGTCAATCTGGACACGGTCAAACATCTGGTATACATGGTGGAGGTGAATTATATGGCGATCATCCCTACCAAAGTTACCATGATCCACATTCCTATTTTCAGTACCAAGAGCAAGGTGAAGGTCATCATCAATCTTTCCCGTCATATGAAGAAGAAGTTCAATCGGACCTCCCCAACCAACCTCAGTACAACTTCCATTCAGGCAGCAGTAGTTTTCACAACTGCCATTATGGAGCTGATGACGGTGCCTTTCATGAGCTGGATCAGATGGAGGATGTCCTGCCAGCACCAGTCAGTGACCCCTCCGATGAAGAAAGAGAGAACAACGTCAGTGCAGACAGCTCCGACCCTCTTGAAGGTGCTGATGATTCAGGACCAGAGTCAGACTCATCTAATGATGATGAGGTGGCTCGTGACCGTGTACCAGTCCCCTACTACAATCACATTCCATATGACAATTGGATGGTCGACAGCGACATGGAGCCGCCAGAGGTCCCAATATGGGGTCCACTCACTGGGTTTATGAAGGGCCAACAATTTGGCTCGAAGAAGGAGGTGCGGCACGCCATTGAGACTGAAGTAATGACTCTACATTTTGAATGGCACACAACTCATTCCAACACTAAAAGGCTCATAGTCAGATGCCGTAATCATCACGAGGGGTGCAATGTTAGGATTCGGGCCATCAACAGCAAGAGACACGGCCATTGGGTCATATCCCGTGCGGTGAACACGCACACATGTGTGTCATCCATAACTTCCCAAGGCCATCGACAGTTGAAATCCAGGGTGGTTGTTGCGGCTATCAAGCATCTAATTGAGCAAGAACCGGACCTGAAGGTGAAAGTCATAATCGTTGACATTGCAAGTCGTTATGGTTATACAATAACCTATAAGAAGGCGTGGCATGGAAAGCAGAAAGCTCTAGCCGCCGTCTTTGGTGATTGGGGAGAATCGTATGCATTCCTTCCCAGGTTAATTTTGGCATTGGAGGCGTCTAACCCTGGCACGGTTTTCTCCCCTCGATACCAAGATGAAGAGATACAACCCCCAGAGCCAGGTAACAAGCGCCATTTCAGACGATTTTTTTGGGCATTCAAGCCATCTATTGATGGTTTTGGCTTCTGTGTCCCTGTGATCCAAGTGGATGGTACATTCCTTCCCGGCAAGTACAAGGTCACTCTCCTGATTGCCAGTGGGGCGGATGCAAACAGACAAGTCTTTCCTTTATCCTTCGCCATTGTTGAGGGAGATAATGTTGATAGCTATGGATGGTTTTTTCGACAAATTCAAATCCACGTCACCAGGAGGACGAACCTGACAATAATCTCTGATCGGCACGCCGGCATTAGAGCTGCCATCTTAGGTTTAGATCCAGCCTGGAAGTGGTCCCAAAAGTGGTGCATACGACACTTCAAGAGCAACTGGAACCATCATTTCAAGCGGAAAAAGCTTGCTGATAATTTGTGGTGGATTGGTAAGTTCTCTATTAGCCTTTTGATTTTGTCAGCTAACAATATCTTATAATCCGAAGAGTGGTGCACTTGTTAGACTCTTTCTACAGAGATGCATGCCTAAGGAAATAGGGTTTTAAGCGATTATCATGGTCCTCCCATTTCCTGGGAAAATCGGGTTTTAAGCGATCTTCGGATCCCCCCTTTTCTGTCAAACAGGCTGTGTTTCTAAGGAGATGTATACCTCTCCTAAGAGTCTAACAAGAATACCTCCGGGTTGTTCGATCTTGTACTAAACTGCCGATAATTGACTAAGATACTGTTTTCTGTGTCTTCCTCAGCGATTGCCTACCAAGAGAAAAAAATTCTGGAGAAGATGCAGAAGCTGCGCGAGTTATGCCCTAAAGGGGCACAGTGGCTGGATGGACACGACCTATCCATGTGGACATTTCATAAAGATGGAGGGACAAGATGGGGTATTGCCACGATGAACTCAGGTGAGAGTATCAACTCTGTCTACAAGGTCGTTCGTGCACTGCCAATCTCTGCCATTGTGGAGATGACTTTTTGGAAAACGAATGCATGGTTCGTCAACCGACTCCACTGGGCAAGGACGAACGAGGCACAGGGAAAGATCCATGCCTATAAAAAGTCATGGAAGTAATGGAGAATGACAATCGCAAGAGCAGTCGGCATAGTGTAACCGTTATGAATCAGGCAAATGGCGAGTATAGCGTGACGATCGGACATCGGGAGGATGGTAGACGGGGAGGCCACCGCCATGAAGTTTTGGTCAATTTCAGGACCAAAGTTGGTGAGTGCTCATGCCAGAAGCATCAGGGGAGAGGGTGGCCTTGTTCTCATGCAATGGCCGCAATTAAAAACAGGAGCAAAGACCCCCGTCACTTCGTTAGTCCATTCTTCAATATCGACTCACTCAAAAACACCTATGGACGGAGTTTCCGTGCATTGCCTGATGAAGCTTATTGGCCGCTGTACGAAGGAAAATTGATCACCCAACCATTCGGACAGAGGCGTGAACCGGGTCGCCCGAGGAAAAATAGAATTCATAACGAAATGGATCAAAGTGGAAGACCACCACGAGGCCCAACACAGCGTTACCATACCCATAAGTTCCATTGGTCTCCAACAACCACCTGGTGTTCTTAAACTCAGGGGGTGGCTCATTCGCTTAATAGACTTCACCAATGGAAATCTTGTGTCCAATTTGGACAGCGATAAAGCTTGATCTTCCTCCTTGTCTTGTCCGTGGGATTAGTAATCGTTCTACTCATCTGCCTCCTCATAATTGTCAAGACCCTTGTGGGCTCTTTACACCCAAGACAATTCCCGCCTCCATTAGAACCCACGCAGCCCAAGTAACAGTCTTGACAAATCTTGAACCCACACTCGCACTTCCCTTTGGTTATGACCTTCTCATCGTATCCCCTCATTCAGCAGACCTACGCAGATTTCGAAGTGGTCAGAGACGAAATATATTGACATTAAAATTGATACATCTGTCAATGGAAAACACGAACCTAGAGAAACATAAAAGCAAAGAATAACTTACCACAGTGAAGTGATGAACCGTTCGCCAATTAGACCGGAATCGGGGGCAGTCGGTGCGTCGGAGGTGTGAAGGTCACTCATTAAGACTGGCGTAAATTAGATGGGAATCGTCGGTGGTGGGTGTGTCAAAGGAGCGGGCCAATAGGAATGAACTTTCTTCAACGTCTTCCACCTCTCGCTAACACTCTCAGGCATTTTGTTACCGCAGATAGGGAAAGAGAGTGAGATCGAGAAAAAGTGGGAGAGATTCGAAAAAATCAAAAACATCAAGGGCATACATAGGAAGGGAAACCCACCAGAAATACTGAAAGATCATGATTTTTCCCCAAAAGGGAGTCCTGAGCGAAGAAGCTGGATGGAGAGAGCGCGCTTATTGATTTCTGGAGAAAGCGCTTCCCCCGGCCGGAGTATCAGGTCTTCGAGGAGAGTGGAGGAGGTTGGTGGTCTGCATCTGCGTTGGCGGCAGATGCGGCGACGGTGGAGGCAGATTTCGGCGAGTACAGGTCTCCAGATGCGATAGGGAAACAGAAAGAGGGAAAGAGGAGATTGACGATTTGTCGACTCCCAGGCTGGAGTTCAATGGGAGTGGATGAAGTTGGTTATGCACGCCTGTGGTGGAAGCAGAAGCGGCGAGATTGGAAGGAGAGTTGACGATGACTCTGACTCTTTGTGGGCCAGTGGGCCCGTTCAAGGCAATATGACTCGCTGTATTTTTCCCGTGTCCGAAAATACCCCTCCGAGAAACGCTCCGGAGGCAGCAATTTTGAAATGGGGGATCAGTTTTAGGCTTCAGCGTATTATAAATAGAGCCCATCTATAGGCCACACAGCGTTACCATACCCATAAGTTCCATTGGTCTCCAACAACCACCTGGTGCGCTTAAACTCAGGGGGTGGCTCATTCGCTTAATAGACTTCACCAATGGAAGTCTTGTGTCCGATTTGGACAGCGATAGAGCTTGATCTTCCTCCTCGTCTTCTCCATGGCATTAGTAATCGTTCTACTCATCTGCCTCCTCATAATTGTCAAAACCCTTGTGGGCTCTTTACACCCAAGACAATTCCCGCCTCCATTAGAACCCACGCAGCCCAAGTAACAGTCTTGACAAATCTTGAACTCACACTCGCAGTTCCCTTTGGTTATGGCCTTCTCATCGTATCCCCTCATCCAGCAGACCTACGCAGATTTCGAAGTGGTCAGAGGTGAAATATATTGACATTAAAATTGATACATCTGTCAATGGAAAACACGAACCTAGAGAAACATAAAAGCAAAGAATAACTTACCACAGTGAAGTGATGAACCGTTCACCAATTAGACAGGAATCGGGGGCAGTCGGTGCGTCGGAGGTGTGAAGGTCACTCATTAAGAGATGGGAATCGTCGGCGGTGGGTGTGTCAAAGGAGCGGGCCAATAGGAATGAACTTTCTTCGACGTCTTCCACCTCTCGCTAACACTCTCAGGCATTTTGTTACCGCAGATAGGGAGAGAGAGTGAGATCGAGAAAAAGTGGGAGAGATTCGAAAAAATCAAAAACATCAAGGGCATACATAGGAAGGGAAACCCACCAGCAATACTGAAAGATCATGATTTTTCCCCAAAAGGGGGTCCTGAGCGAAGAAGCTGGATGGAGAGAGCGCCCTTATTGATTTCTGGTGAAAGCGCTTCCCCCGGCCGGAGTATCAGGTCTTCGAGGAGAGTGGAGGAGGTTGGTGGTCTGCATCTGCGTTGGCGGCAGATGCGGCGACGGTGGAGGCAGATTTCGGCGAGTACAGGTCTCCATATGCGATAGGGAAACAGAAAGAGGGAAAGAGGAGATTGACGATTTGTCGACTCCCAGGCTGGAGTTCGATGGGAGTGGATGAAGTTGGTTATGCACGCCTGCGGTGGAAGCAGAAGCGGCGAGATTGGAAGGAGAGTTGACGATGACTCTGACTCTTCGTGGGGCAGTGGGCCCGTTCAAGGCAATATGACTCGCTGTATTTTTCCCGTGTCCGAAAATACCCCTCCGAGAAACGCTCCGGAGGCAGCAATTTTGAAATGGGGGATCAGTTTTAGGCTTCAGCGTATTATAAATAGAGCCCATCTTTAGGCCACACAGCGTTACCATACCCATAAGTTTCATTGGTCTCCAACAACCACCTGGTGCGCTTAAACTCAGGGGGTGGCTCATTCGCTTAATAGACTTCACCAATGGAAGTCTTGTGTCCGATTTGGACAGCGATAGAGCTTGATCTTCCTCCTCGTCTTCTTCGTGGCATTAGTAATCGTTCTACTCATCTGCCTCCTCATAATTGTCAAAACCCTTGTTGGCTCTTTACACCCAAGACAATTCCCGCCTCCATTAGAACCCACGCAGCCCAAGTAACAGTCTTGACAAATCTTGAACTCACACTCGCACTTCCCTTTGGTTATGGCCTTCTCATCGTATCCCCTCATCCAGCAGACCTACGCAGATTTCGAAGTGGTCAGAGGTGAAATATATTGACATTAAAATTGATACATCTGTCAATGGAAAACACGAACCTAGAGAAACATAAATGCAAAGAATAACTTACCACAGTGAAGTGATGAACCGTTCACCAATTAGACAGGAATCGGGGGCAGTCGGTGCGTCGGAGGTGTGAAGGTCACTCATTAAGAGATGGGAATCGTCGGCGGTGGGTGTGTCAAAGGAGCGGGCCAATAGGAATGAACTTTCTTCGACGTCTTCCACCTCTCGCTAACACTCTCAGGCATTTTGTTACCGCAGATAGGGAGAGAGAGTGAGATCGAGAAAAAGTGTGAGAGATTCGAAAAAATCAAAAACATCAAGGGCATACATAGGAAGGGAAACCCACCAGCAATACTGAAAGATCATGATTTTTCCCCAAAAGGGGGTCCTGAGCGAAGAAGCTGGATGGAGAGAGCGCCCTTATTGATTTCTGGTGAAAGCGCTTCCCCCGGCCGGAGTATCAGGTCTTCGAGGAGAGTGGAGGAGGTTGGTGGTCTGCATCTGCGTTGGCAGCAGATGCGGCGACGGTGGAGGCAGATTTCGGCGAGTACAGGTCTCCAGATGCGATAGGGAAACAGAAAGAGGTAAAGAGGAGATTGACGATTTGTCGACTCCCAGGCTGGAGTTCGATGGGAGTGGATGAAGTTGGTTATGCACGCTTGCGGTGGAAGCAGAAGCAGCGAGATTGAAAGGAGAGTTGATGATGACTCTGACTCTTCGTGGGGCAGTGGGCCCGTTCAAGGCAATATGACTCGCTGTATTTTTCCCGTGTCCGAAAATACCCCTCCGAGAAACGCTCCGGAGGCAGCAATTTTGAAATGGGGGATCAGTTTTAGGCTTCAGCGTATTATAAATAGAGCCCATCTTTAGGCCACACAGCGTTACCATACCCATAAGTTCCATTGGTCTCCAACAACCACCTGGTGCGCTTAAACTCAGGGGGTGGCTCATTCGCTTAATAGACTTCACCAATGGAAGTCTTGTGTCCAATTTGGACAGCGATAGAGCTTGATCTTCCTCCTCGTCTTCTCCTTGGAATTAGTAATCGTTCTACTCATCTGCCTCCTCATAATTGTCAAAACCCTTGTGGGCTCTTTACACCCAAGACAATTCCCGCCTCCATTAGAACCCACGCAGCCCAAGTAACAGTCTTGACAAATCTTGAACTCACACTCGCACTTCCCTTTGGTTATGGCCTTCTCATCGTATCCCCTCATCCAGCAGACCTACGCAGATTTCGAAGTGGTCAGAGGTGAAATATATTGACATTAAAATTGATACATCTGTCAATGGAAAACACGAACCTAGAGAAACATAAAAACAAAGAATAACTTACCACAGTTAAGTGATGAACCGTTCGCCAATTAGACCGGAATCGGGGGCAGTCGATGCGTCGGAGGTGTGAAGGTTATTCACTAAGACTGGCGTAAATTAGATGGGAATCGTCGGCGGTGGGTGTGTCAAAGGAGCGGGCCAATAGGAATGAACTTGCTTCGACGTCTTCCACCTCTCGCTAACACTCTCAGGCATTTTGTTACCGCGGATAGGGAGAGAGAGTGAGATCGAGAAAAAGTGGGAGAGATTCGAAAAAATCAAAAACATCAAGGGTATACATAGGAAGGGAAACCCACCAGCAAAACTGAAAGATCATGATTTTTCCCTAAAAGGGGTTCCTGAGCGAAGAAGCTGGACGGAAAGAGCGCGCTTACTGATTTCTGGCAAAAGCGCTTCCCCCGGCCGGAGTATCAGGTCTTCGAGGAGAGTGGAGGAGGTTGGTGGTCTGCATCTGCGTTGGCGGCAGATGCGGCGACGGTGGAGGCAGATTTCGGCGAGTACAGGTCTCCAGATGCGATAGGGAAACAGAAAGAGGGAAAGAGGAGATTGACGATTTGTCGACTCCCATGCTGGAGTTCGATGGGAGTGGATGAAGTTGGTTATGCACGCCTGCGGTGGAAGCAGAAGCGGCGAGATTGGAAGGAGAGTTGACGATGACTCTGACTCTTCGTGGGCCAGTGGGCCCGTTCAAGGCAATATGACTCGCTGTATTTTTCCCGTGTCAGAAAATACCCCTCCGAGAAACGCTCCGGAGGCAGCAATTTTGAAATGGGGGATCAGTTCTAGGCTTCAGCATATTATAAATAGAGCCCATCTTTAGGCCACACAGCGTTACCATAACCATAAGTTCCATTGGTCTCCAACAACCACCTAGTGCGCTTAAACTCAGGGGGTGGCTCATTCGCTTAATAGACTTCACCAATGGAAGTCTTGTGTCCAATTTGGACAGCGATAGAGCTTGATCTTCCTCCTCGTCTTCTCCGTGGCATTAGTAATCGTTCTACTCATCTGCCTCCTCATAATTGTCAAAACCTTTGTGGGCTCTTTACACCCAAGACAATTACCGCCTCCATTAGAACCCACGCAGCCCAAGTAACAGTCTTGACAAATCTTGAACTCACACTCGCACTTCCCTTTGGTTATGGCCTTCTCATCGTATCCCCTCATCCAGCAGACCTACGCAGATTTCGAAGTGGTCAGAGGTGAAATATATTGACATTAAAATTGATACATCTGTCAATGGAAAACACGAACCTAGAGAAACATAAAAGCAAAGAATAACTTACCACAGTTAAGTGATGAACCGTTCGCCAATTAGACCGAAATCGGGGGCAGTCGATGCGTCGGAGGTGTGAAGGTCATTCACTAAGACTGGCGTAAATTAGATGGGAATCGTCGGCGGTGGGTGTGTCAAAGGAGCGGGCCAATAGGAATGAACTTGCTTCGACGTCTTCCACCTCTCGCTAACACTCTCAGGCATTTTGTTACCACGGATAGGGAGAGAGAGTGAGATCGAGAAAAAGTGGGAGAGATTCGAAAAAATCAAAAACATCAAGGGTATACATAGGAAGGGAAACCCACCAGCAAAACTGAAAGATCATGATTTTTCCCTAAAAGGGGTTCCTGAGCGAAGAAGCTGGACGGAAAGAGCGCGCTTACTGATTTCTGGCAAAAGCGCTTCCCCCGGCCGGAGTATCAGGTCTTCGAGGAGAGTGGAGGAGGTTGGTGGTCTGCATCTGCGTTGGCGGCAGATGCGGCGACGGTGGAGGCAGATTTCGGCGAGTACAGGTCTCCAGATGCGATAGGGAAACAGAAAGAGGGAAAGAGGAGATTGACGATTTGTCGACTCCCATGCTGGAGTTCGATGGGAGTGATGAAGTTGGTTATGCACGCCTGCGGTGGAAGCAGAAGCGGCGAGATTGGAAGGAGAGTTGACGATGACTCTGACTCTTCGTGGGCCAGTGGGCCCGTTCAAGGCAATATGACTCGCTGTATTTTTCCCGTGTCAGAAAATACCCCTCCGAGAAACGCTCCGGAGGCAGCAATTTTGAAATGGGGGATCAGTTCTAGGCTTCAGCATATTATAAATAGAGCCCATCTTTAGGCCACACAGCGTTACCATAACCATAAGTTCCATTGGTCTCCAACAACCACCTAGTGCGCTTAAACTCAGGGGGTGGCTCATTCGCTTAATAGACTTCACCAATGGAAGTCTTGTGTCCAATTTGGACAGCGATAGAGCTTGATCTTCCTCCTCGTCTTCTCCGTGGCATTAGTAATCGTTCTACTCATCTGCCTCCTCATAATTGTCAAAACCTTTGTGGGCTCTTTACACCCAAGACAATTACCGCCTCCATTAGAACCCACGCAGCCCAAGTAACAGTCTTGACAAATCTTGAACTCACACTCGCACTTCCCTTTGGTTATGGCCTTCTCATCGTATCCCCTCATCCAGCAGACCTACGCAGATTTCGAAGTGGTCAAAGGTGAAATATATTGACATTAAAATTGATACATCTGTCAATGGAAAACACGAACCTAGAGAAACATAAAAGCAAAGAATAACTTACCACAGTGAAGTGATGAACCGTTCGCCAATTAGACCGGAATCGGGGGCAGTCGGTGCGTCGGAGGTGTGAAGGTCATTCACTAAGACTGGCGTAAATTAGATGGGAATCGTGGGCGGTGGGTGTGTTAAAGGAGCGGGCCAATAGGAATGAACTTGCTTCGACGTCTTCCACCTCTCGCTAACACTCTCAGGCATTTTGTTACCGCGGATAGGGAGAGAGAGTGAGATCGAGAAAAAGTGGGAGAGATTCGAAAAAATCAAAAACATCAAGGGTATACATAGGAAGGGAAACCCAACAGCAAAACTGAAAGATCATGATTTTTCCCCAAAAGGGGTTCCTGAGCGAAGAAGCTGGACGGAGAGAGCGCGCTTACTGATTTCTAGCAAAAGCGCTTCCCCCGGCCGGAGTATCAGGTCTTCGAGGAGAGTGGAGGAGGTTGGTGGTCTGCATCTGCGTTGGCGGCAGATGCGGCGACGGTGGAGGCAGATTTCGGCGAGTACAGGTCTCCAGATGCGATAGGGAAACAGAAAGAGGGAAAGAGGAGATTGACGATTTGTCGACTCCCAGGCTGGAGTTCGATGGGAGTGGATGAAGTTGGTTATACACGCCTGCGGTGGAAGCAGAAGCGGCGAGATTGGAAGGAGAGTTGACGATGACTCTGACTCTTCGTGGGCCAGTGGGCCCGTTCAAGGCAATATGACTCGCTGTATTTTTCCCGTGTCAGAAAATACCCCTCCGAGAAACGCTCCGGAGGCAGCAATTTTGAAATGGGGGATCAGTTCTAGGCTTCAGCATATTATAAATAGAGCCCATCTTTAGGCCACACAGCGTTACCATAACCATAAGTTCCATTGGTCTCCAACAACCACCTAGTGCGCTTAAACTCAGGGGGTGGCTCATTCGCTTAATAGACTTCACCAATGGAAGTCTTGTGTCCAATTTGGACAGCGATAGAGCTTGATCTTCCTCCTCGTCTTCTCCGTGGCATTAGTAATCGTTCTACTCATCTGCCTCCTCATAATTGTCAAAACCTTTGTGGGCTCTTTACACCCAAGACAATTCCCGCCTCCATTAGAACCCACGCAGCCCAAGTAACAGTCTTGACAAATCTTGAACTCACACTCGCAGTTCCCTTTGGTTATTGCCTTCTCATCGTATCCCCTCATCCAGCAGACCTACGCAGATTTCGAAGTGGTCAGAGGTGAAATATATTGACATTAAAATTGATACATCTGTCAATGGAAAACACGAACCTAGAGAAACATAAAAGCAAAGAATAACTTACCACAGTGAAGTGATGAACCGTTCACCAATTAGACAGGAATCGGGGGCAGTCGGTGCGTCGGAGGTGTGAAGGTCACTCATTAAGAGATGGGAATCGTCGGCGGTGGGTGTGTCAAAGGAGCGGGCCAATAGGAATGAACTTTCTTCGACGTCTTCCACCTCTCGCTAACACTCTCAGGCATTTTGTTACCGCAGATAGGGAGAGAGAGTGAGATCGAGAAAAAGTGGGAGAGATTCGAAAAAATCAAAAACATCAAGGGCATACATAGGAAGGGAAACCCACCAGCAATACTGAAAGATCATGATTTTTCCCCAAAAGGGGGTCCTGAGCGAAGAAGCTGGATGGAGAGAGCGCACTTATTGATTTCTGGTGAAAGCGCTTCCCCCGGCCGGAGTATCAGGTCTTCGAGGAGAGTGGAGGAGGTTGGTGGTCTGCATCTGCGTTGGCGGCAGATGCGGCGACGGTGGAGGCAGATTTCGGCGAGTACAGGTCTCCATATGCGATAGGGAAACAGAAAGAGGGAAAGAGGAGGTTGACGATTTGTCGACTCCCAGGCTGGAGTTCGATGGGAGTGGATGAAGTTGGTTATGCACGCCTGCGGTGGAAGCAGAAGCGGCGAGATTGGAAGGAGAGTTGACGATGACTCTGACTCTTCGTGGGGCAGTGGG